AAGAAATTTATGGAAGAGAAAAGTAGAGATTAATGATTAATTTTATGAAAGAATAAATAATCTTAATTTAATGTAACCTGTTTATTTTTTCTACTAACTGACGTCTTATTGCTCTGCCTATGCTCAGTGGGTTCCTTGCACTGTCTGTTCTTTCCACTGGTGTCACGGATGTTATTACATCTCTTGCTCATAGTCTAGATCGGGAACGTTAAAATTTATGGCCAGATTGTGCAACACACTGCATGCAGTTATAACGCTAGCACATGTTTCTGGTTTATAAGTTCGATCCTTGCTAAGACATCTCCATCGATTTTTAAAACCCCCAAAGGTGTTTTCAATCACTACCCTTGTCCTTCTATGTACGGAGGTGTATTTAGCATCTCGACTATTATCGACTGCATCGGTAATGGGTGTCATCAGCCATGGTCTTTGAGGATATCCAGAATCGCCTATAATTAAAGTTTTTTTTTATTAATTCTGGTTGATTACAAACATATAAATTTAAATCATAAAATCAATTGCTGTTCGTTGGTCTCGCTAAAACTCGAGGACTCGAAAACGGTAAATATTTTAAACACATATGTACTACTAGCGGCCCGCCCTCGCTTCGCTTCGGTGTAGAGCTGAAATGTAGACTACAGTTTTTGTTCTCAGGTTGTATTATACACAATGACATTCATCTATGATTCTTCTTATACCTGCATGCAAAGTCTCAGCCCGATCGGTTTAAAATTGACAAAGTTTCATACAAACTCATTCGCTATTTTATCCCCTTGGGGGTAGATTGGTAACCCAATGTACTTACTTATGGTTCCGCTGTTCCACAGTATTTGTCTCTTATCGTATCTTTTTACAGATGTGATAATTTTAAGATTATAAATTAATCAGTTTAATGCTGAAATTTAAAAGATACCTATAAAAGTAGTAGATTTTTCTTTAAATTTTATTATTTACCTATAGGTAAATAATATCCTATCCTATTTCATCCTACCATGTTTTCGTCTTATAATAGTCTGTAATTTGGCATAGATATTTAGAGTACTATATTATAGTCTCCGAGCTAAGCTGCAGAAATACGGTCGGAAATAGTGAAACTGTAAATGTTCCTTTTTGACTATGGAATCCTGAAATGATAAATCTCAATAACGAGTATCAGAATTTTATTTTGTCTACCCGTTCACTAATAATGCTTAACTCTAAACAGGTATAAAGTTAGGCCATATACAGAAAGAAAGCCGAAAGCCGATCGGCGCCTATTGGCGCTGATCCTTTTTCTATGGACCGGCGCCGATCGGCGCCGATAAGCGCCGATAAGCGCTGGTCCGAATAATAAATAATTTGTATTTGAATTATTATCCTTAGATTAAATCAATCTAAGTTATAATCTTTTTATAAATCTAATAACTTTATCTTTTATTAACTAAGCGCTAAAATTATTTGTTTCGTACTTACCGAATGGTGACAACAAGTCTTTCTTCTGGAAGGATTGGTTGTTTATGCCAATTGCCCCAATTTTTCATCAAACGGTTTTTCACTAAATCCAAAATGTAATAAAATGTTTCTTGAATCATTCTTGTATATGTATAAAATCTTTGTTCATCAACATCCTATAAATAGAGAAACGAAACGTTAAATTTTACAAATAAATGATGGTATTCTCCGAAACGTTTCCTTTCTCTATTTAAAGGATGTATAGCTGTTTTTCACATTTTTAAATAAACATTTTCTAACAAAACCAAATCATCGTCCGATGAGTCCGACATTTTGCTTGATCTGCTTTAATCGGCTTCCTTTATGTAGGAAGGATCGGCGCCGATAAGCGCCGATCGGCTTTCGGCTTTCTTTCTGTATACGACCTAAGGCCAATGTTCATAAATGACCAAATATTATAGTACTGGTTGGATAGAAAACTTGGACAATGATTGATAAAACCAGTATTTGTGTCTTAAGTTTTCACGCACATCACTCCTTAAATGAAACAAGTTTTGCAAGGTATTTTAACTGACGACGCATCCTGAAAAGGATGCCAAATGTCACAAGTACTGTATTATACCCGTTCAAAACTTGTTTCATTTAAAACCAATACTGTTGAATACTAAAGTAACGTGAAAATATTTTAAGTTATATTGTCATCCAAAATATTTGGAATGATCTCCACTTAAATGCTGCGACGTAATGTTCCTCGATGTCACAGATTTAAGTACTTGTTCTTCGTTTCGGAGCACTGCGTCCTTTGAGGAAATCCTGAGGAAGATAAAAAAAATGTGTATAAACATAAAAAAAACACGGTATATATTATTTTCTTTTTATTTCATTTCTATAATTTCTTATAAATTTTGTACGTCACACACAGCTCATTTTGTATTTAGGAATACCTACAGGAAAGTTTTAAAATATTTCCTTCTAGTATTCTAAAATGTATGTATATATGCCTATATAAAATATATTTTCATCAACATCATCATCAACAGCCTATCATAGTCCACTGCTGGACATAGGCCTCTCCAAATGCATGCCACTCAGATCGATCTTGGGCTACTCGCATCCAGCTACTGCCAGCCACCTTGCGCAAATCGTCACTCCATCGTGCCTGAGGACGTCCTACACTACGTTTGCCTAGACGCGGTCTCCACTCCAGAACTCGTCTACCCCAACGGTTATCGGTTCTTCGACAAATATGGCCAGCCCACTGCCACTTCAACTTGCTAATCCGGTGGGCTATGTCGATAACTCTGGTTCTCTGTCGGATTACCTCATTTCTGATGCGATCTTTCAGAGAAACGCCGAGCATAGCCCTTTCCATAGCGCGTTGAGCGACTTTGAACCTGTGGATCAGCCGTGCCGTCAGTGTACACGTCTCGGCTCCGTATGTCATCACAGGTAGTGTGGTGTAAGGGGTTCTAAATACACCTGCAAGAACCCAAGCCAACCTCACCTTCATGTGGTGCACCCTGTATTTCAACAGACGAGGCTCTGGCAAACCGACCGATGGCGGTATAACCATCCAATGACGTAGGGGAGGAAAATGTCACTGTTGACGGGCAGCAGCGTCATCAGTAAATAAACCTACGCTCTGCGATCGCCAACCCGCCTGCCCAGCGTGGCGATTATGGGCAAAACCTTCATGCACAAAATATATTTTACCACAAAAAAAAAACAACTTGTTTCATGCAGGCACCGCGTGGGAGGCATCTTGTAAAAGTAGTCAATAACTTGCCAATTGCCAATCAATAACTATTTCATTTTAAATTAAAATAATCATTTAAAAAAAAAACGGGAAATACAAAAACCCCGACAGAGCCAAATATTGGTGGAGACCTTTGTTTTACCCTTATAAATAAAAATTTAAAAGTCCCCATCAATCCCATGCGAGCTTCAAAAGTTATGCGGGACCAAATGTCAAAATTTTAGGTTTTATGACTTTTTCTCAAAAACGGTAAGTTTAATCAAAAAATACCTCAGAATAAAATTGTAGATCTCAAAATTCTCTACAAAAATGGTTCTTATGATATTTTCTCTAAGTATCACCGTTCCTGAGATATCGTGATTGTGAGAGTCACGTACTACGTAATATGCACACATTTGTTACATGTATTCATATTCAGGTTCTTAAGCAAGCAAAAATACTTATTTGTGTCTCTTTTATGAATAAACTATATACTATATTATGAATATACCATATTGAGAAAATGTAAAAGTCCCTTAAGTAGTGACGACTGCCAGTTTACGTTAGATGAATTAAAGAATGTTTGTCAAAATGTAGCTTTAGATAATAGAATTATAAAAGTACGGTTGAAGTTAAAGTCCATACTGTAACTTTGACTTAAAATGTCTTGATAATTGTCTATGAAACAAATAAATGTTAATTTTCCAGGCTTTCCTGTAATAATAATTCTACTAATGGTAGTATAATTATTATTAAATTCAATAACAAAAAACAATATTAATAATCTTCCTCCAGTTAAATTAATATTGTCTCTAAAAATAACATTATAACGGTTAGTTGAATACGCCTACCGGGGAAACCACGTTAAAAAAACGCGCCGAGTACACTACCTCATAGGTGGTGAGGAAATGTGTGCATATTATGTAGTACGTGACTCTCACAATCACGATATCTCAGGAACGGTGATTCTTAGAGAAAAAATTATAAGCACCATTTTTGTAGAGCATTTTGAGATCTACAATTTTAGTTTAAGGTATTTTTTTGATAAAACTTACCGTTTTTGAGAAAAAGTCAAAAAACTTAAAATTTTGACCTTTGGCCCCGCATAACTTTTGAAGCTCGTATGGGATTGATGGGGACTTTTAAATTTTTATTTATAAGAGTAAAACAAAGCTCACCAATATTTGGCTCTGTCGGGGTTTTTTGTTATTTGATCCCTATTTTTATGTCTAAATTGACCGGGCTACTACATGTCATAAAAATTTGGAGTCTGCCGGAATCTACCGGTGACTGACTACCACCCTCTATACAAATTTGAACCGTGTCCTTTAATTAATATGGCCGATCCACCATGCGCTGCGCCATCTGGGTACATTTTGTGATAGTACCTATCTAGTAATTAAAAAATTATAAAAAAGTTGGGAGCCCACTTTACTAATATTTCGGAGACGTATTTATTATCCAACGTGATTTGAAGCGATAAATAATGGTTACCATACGATCAGCCATTTAACAAAAGACAGAAGATAATTTGTATATTTTTACGATTATCTTTGAAAGTAGTCTCGGGTTTCGGCACCAAAAGAATGAAGCGATGCCAACTACTTATATTCACTGCATTAGAGGTTGAAATAAGAAATGAATTCCCAAAACGTATGTAGGAGGCAAATGACATAAAAAAGAATAGCCGCCTTCCTTTAATCTATCTAACGAATTTCCTTAAATAATAACTATAGTGAAGATAACAACGCATTACTAGTGCGGTGCGCGTACGCAGATAACATGACGTTGGACGGTATCGATTATATTCGAATGATTTCCTAATTTATCCACCCCAGTCCCCGTAGCATGAGCACCACAATTTACATTACAACACGTTTTTTGTCGCGTCTAACTGTCAAACTCCATAGCAATTTGACAATTGAGCGTGATAAAAACGCGTTATATATCATATCGCGGTGCTCATGCTAGGGGGGCTGGTAGAGGGCTTGTATGTTTTGTATACATACTTAACTATTATTTACTTCCATGAATAATTACCAATTGAGAATGAAAATATTGAGAGATGCTGCTGTCAATTAAATAGGGATATTATTATGATCACGATACTCGTACAGTATCCCTGTAATTAATTATTTTTTTTCTTTTTAAACATTTTTTTAAGAAATCTTTTTACTATTGTAACACACAAACATTAAAACATACATTCAAACAACGTTATTTAATTAGTTCCGATAGTCATTACTAAATGGCGCTGCCTGTCATTTGAATCACGCTTGCCTTTGTGTTCGAAAATTGTATATAGTCTAAGATCAAATTTTGTACAGACAGGGAATAGCACCGAGGTTGCAACCAAGCTATATTGATTCTTTCTCGGTCTTGATCTGCTCCCCACTCTTAATAAGTACTGGCACCTGGTTCTGCACCCACGCTAGTGAGTCACCACTGGGTGAATTAAAGTAACAGTTTGTTATCTTCGTATTGTGGTTCAATAAAACTGTTGTCTCAGTCAACTGCATTGTTCTTTTGGCGGCGGTGAACCTGCACAGCATCCTCATACTTCTCCCACGTACTACACTATTAGCATTTCATTTTTACTTACACGTTACGTTTTTACTTTACAATTTTGTCGGTCTCTGTGCCTCGAGTGGTACACCTACGCTGGTTTTCAAGATCGCCTACTCAGAGGTCACGGGTTCGAATACCGGTGGGGCAAATGTTTGTGTGTATTACTAAATAACAAAATATAATACTTTGCTTCTTTGGTATATACACCGTGATCTTTGAATTAACTGAACAAATTAAAAGTCGTGTAAATAAAAATAGTGCGAACAGTTATAAATAGTAAACGTACTAAATCCTAAAACTCAGCAAATTTGTAAATAACATACCTATTATGAAATAATTATCCGTTTGAAATACGTAGATCCTAAAATTAATTTTACTTTCATCAATTTATAAAAATTCTAATTGTGGAAGTTACATAATTACACAATTAGTAAATTAACGTGATTTTTTTCGAAAAAAAAAAAGTTTTTTTTTTGTTGTGGAATATAACCTAAACAGTTGTCTGAATTAGCTAGTAAAGTTTCTAGGGTAACTTAAAATTCACGGTGTGTATGTATCAGTTTATATGTCACCGGCAATCTGTATAATTCAGGTATTTTATACAATACCTAGGTAATGTATAGAATGCCTGTTGCGTCTAGGCAATGTATGAAATATTATAAATATTATTTTCGATTTTATACTTTTATTATCTAGTAATGTATAAATTTCCTAGGGATTATTTAGAATACCTGCTGGCTCATCGTCAATGTGTAAAATAAATATAAACAGATTTGGTCTGTATTTATCCTCACCAAAACTAACCAGTTGGATACAAAATGACGGACGGATTTTATAATTTTCACCTAATGAACTATAGGCTAATGAACGTTTCACCGAATCACAGTGTTAGGTTAAGTTAGTGTTGTGACCTAAACTTAGCGCGCGCTGAGCGAGCAAAGCGAGTGTGCCGCGGCAGCGGCCGATGAAGCGCCAGCCACCTGATAGATATTATATAAATAAAACAATAAATAAAACAAGGAAAAGTCAACTCGCCATCTTCTTTTGTATAGAATACCTAGGCAAAGTATAGAATGAATTTTATTTCATACATTGCCTTGATGTTTTTTCATTCTATACATTGCCTAGGTATTGTATAGAATGCCGGATTATACAGATTGCCGGTTACCCGAGTATCCTACAACACAAATCTTTACAGTGCTTACTTTGGGGCTAATTGGTGTGCGTGTTAGAAATATTTATTTATTTATATCGTGGTGCACGAAAAAACACTTGAAATGTTTACTGGGTTGACTTTTCTTATTGTAGTACTTTTACTGAAACCTATTGTTACAGAAACTGATTTATGTTCTGAATTTTTCATGAAACTCTTTTAAAATAAATGTTATTTGTGCAACAAGTAATTTAATAGTAAAATAAAACACGATTGTAATATACGTACTTTAAAAGCGTGCCGAAATTTGTATGACATTAAACTATAAAGAATCGGATTTACAGCACTCGATAGATAGCTGCTGTAACATAAGTAGTTCACTATTCGCCAAATCTGTAACAAAAATGAAAAAAAGTTTAACAACTACACAAAACCAACTTTCTACATAAAAAAAAACCCGGCAAAGTGCGTGTCGTGCCACGCACAGGGTAGGGTTCTGTAGTTGCTTTTAGTTAAAACAATATATTTGAGCAGAAGTCTTTATCTTCTATATCGGAAATTATATGTATCTCACCTAAATACCTAAATCAAAAAAAATATAACTAGAAAAAAGGGTTCGAGTCCCGTCTGCTGCCTGGTCCGCGTCGAATTTTTTTTCTAGTTATATTTTCTTTAGATTTAAACATCAAGCAGTTACATGCTTTAAAAAAATAAAAATTATAACTAAATCAAATATTTTTCTTTTTTTAAATACGAATGATAACCGCCGATTTTTTTGTTTCCTACCAGGCGAGGGAACGAGTGTGATATCTCATGGATACCCTACGGCCGGCTGCAAGGTTATGTCAGACCTTGCAGCCCGCTGTAGGGTTCTCTTCCTGACTAAAAGCTTCATCTGAAGCGATCATCATCCCCTGAGAAGGGGATCATTCGGCTCCGCTGCTCCTGCACGACAACCCGTGACATACTGCACAGGAGGCGGTCTCCAAGTTACAAGAGCTGGGGTTGGAAGTTCTCCGTCATCCACCGTACTCACCAGACCTTCCCCTACAGACTTCTAATTTTTCTAGAATTTGGATAACTTCTTAGCGGGGGAAAAATTAAATAATCGAGAGGCAGTTTTAAATGACTTTGAATAATTTGTTGCCTCCAGTTCAGCAGACTTTTTCAGAAAGGGCATCAATAAGCTACCACTACGATGCCAAAAATGCATTGTTTGCATGGGTGATACCTTATTTCATGAAAACTTATTTCATGAAAAGGGCGATACCTTATTTCAAAAAAAAAACAAAGCATCATGTTTTTTTCTGGTATTAAAGAAAAAAATGCTTTGATATCAGTTAAAATATCCGCTGTGTTCCTATGAAAGCCGGTGGTTCCTAATAAGGCCAATCAATAATATGGCTGTTAATAAATACGTATCGGGAAAGTTGAAACAATGCTTTATATTTATAATATTATTATTTATAAGGGCTATTCAACTTAACCCTCATAGAAATATTTTGGCCTTACAAAGAACGGAACCATGAAAAGGCTATTTTAGGTCAATTTTCTTATATAAGTAATTTATTTTTTAAACGCATGGCAACTCTTTGTTATCGATATAAAACTCATAACTATAATTTAAGAAAATATTTCCATTAATATGTGCTTAGTATACGATGGTGTTCAAGAAATGTTCGTTGAGTTTTTTTAAAGAAGGTTATGGTATTATGTTTTCATTAAAATGTAAGAAATTTTTGTGTAGTACGAGTATTTGTAATAGCGAATATTTTGATTATTACAAATCTCATTTTAAGTTGAACGCTGACTTATAATATTTAGCCTTGATGGAGCCCTACTGTACGTTGCAAATCTGTTTGGTAGAGCTCTAAAAAAGTTAAGTTAAATATAAAGCGATTACATTTAGGAAAAAAAGTAATTCGTATGTTTGTTTTAATAAAATGTTAATTAATCATTTGTTTCTTTTATTTATCCAGTAAATGAACTTATAAAAACTGTTTATTCGTTACAGTGTTCTTCCATGGTCTACTCACCTTATAAGTAGTCTCGAAGTGCCTATCCTGACTCCATCCCGAGTTCATGGATGTCTCTGGATAATATATTTGGTGGTTTACCTACAGCTAGAATTGGTACTTACAATGTAGTAATCTTCATATTTGTATTCAGGATGTATGATCATAAAACGCATCATACAATATGGCGACCAGCAAAAGAAAAAAGATGCAGCCACTGCAGCTGAAAGTAAAAGTAAACGTTACAGCCTTGAAATCGTTGATTTAAATATAAGTTTCAGGAATATCTACAACTTGTTTGTTTGTTATTGAATGAGGTCACAATAATATAACTACCTAAGCTATACACCGTGAATCTTGAGTTACATTGAGTTTTTGAGAAACTAAACTTCCTAATTCAGTCAACGATTCGGGTCATATTAGGTCCTTACATATGAAATTGGCGAAAAATTTTGGATGGGAGGAATATAAAGTATTTTTTTTGTAAAATATATTTAGTTAATCAAATTATGCACTTTTTTATCTATTTAATTATGATCAGGCAACATAGGCCCATACATAAATAACTTATAGTCTAACATATATACAGATATAAAAACATTAAAAACATCTATGCACTTTTGCCATCTCATAGGTAGTTCATTGATTCCTTTACTAAAAAAACCATGGGAGCGAGAATCAATAAACTCTTTGAAGGCGGTTTGGACTGCCGCATTGTTTTTGACCTTGTAAAAAGTTATCCAAATTCCGGAAAGTATGGTCATTGTTGGAGCAAGGTCCGGGGAGTACGGTGGATGTCAGACATTCCAATTGTAGCTCATCTAACTTAGTGGTTCTTTGTTGTGCAGTGTGTGGTCTTGCGTTGACGTGAAGCAGCAGTGGCCTAGAGCATTTGACCAATCTCGGTTGTTTAGCAGCTAGTTCTTACTTCATGGTTTGCAGTTGCTGACAATAGATATCTGCCGTAATCGGTGGCCAGATTTTGGAAAGCTGAGTGAACGACACCGGCGGCGCTAGTCCACCAAACAGTAACTTTTTCTGAGTAAATTTTCGTTTAGTACTTTATTATTTTATCGTATAGTATCCACTTTTCATCACAAGTAATAATTCGATTTAAAATCCCATCATTATTGTGTCGGTTGAGCAAAGTAACACAGCAGTCGACGCGTGCTTGCAAGTTCTATTTACTCAATTCATGAGGTACCCATCGTTCAAGTTTTTTTATTTTCCCGATTCGCTTCCAGTGGATTAATACAATTTGGACACTTACCCCAAAGCCTGTAGCTATCTCTGAAGTGCTTTGTGATGGATCCGGTTCCACAATAGCCTTTAATTCTTCATTTTCCACTTTGGTCTCCCGCCGTTCACGGGGTTGGTTCTGAATAAGGATTGCAATCCGGTAAAACGGATCCGGTAATCCGGCGGATCCGGCATTATTTGACGGTTACCGGATCCGGTACCAATATACCGGATCCGAAGACCAGGACCGGTGCAAGCAGTTTGTGGCAAAATAATATAGCTGTTGCATGAGAAGTTACTTTAAATGCGTTGCGCGTGGTGTTCATGCGTACGAGTCGCTCATCGCTGAGTCGCCCCACTACGCTTCGCCAGTACCACCGCCAGACATCTGTTTGGGACTATCATTCGCCTAGCGCACGTGCGTAAGGAAATAAATGTGGTTTGTTTTCGAGGAGAATATAATACGATTCAAATAAGAATAGGAAAGCCAATGACCTCCATCTGTCAAATGTTGCTTGAAAAGTACGGTTTGGAAAAAATCTTGGAACCCTTTTTCAGCACTCAGATAAGTCTAAAATAAAAATGCAAACATTTCTAAACAAACAATAACAAATATCGATAGTTAATATTGGTTGATATTTTTTTTCATTTATTGAGCTTTGGCTATGAACACCTTAATTCGTCAACCAAATGTCGCTTTAAGTTGCGTTCATAAACTCGATTTAAAACTTTAGTTTTCATAAAGGATGCATATTTTTATGTGACCTGGTAATAGTGCATCATTCTTCATAACTACTCCGGCGGTAATGCAGAGATGAGCGGTGTAGGTGACTTACACTTAATTTATTTATTTATACATGATATAGTTATATAATTAATTCACATACTTAATTATATTTACATTACGCTTACATCTAAACTTATTCTAAACTTATATTTATTTAACAACAAACAAATATATTTTATAATAATTATACTTACACAATTTAATATCCACTAAAATTATCTTTATACTAAATTATATTTATCTACATATTATATTATTTACATCATCCGAACATTTGCCGGATGATACGGTATAGCCCACTTGCCGTCGTGAAATGGAAACGTACAATTCAAAAGTCGCCGTACCGGCTTCTTTATACAAGCAGCGCGAGCGCACAGCGCGGCCACGCATACCAGTTGAGATTGATACACCGCGCGAAGCCTATGTCGCTCGATACTAATTCTTAAGCTTTCGCTAGCTCGTTAAGTGCTTTTGCTTAATAATATTAATGCAATATTATAGCCATAATTATCTGTGCTGTGTTTTGTGCTTTGCTTACTTTCCGAACTATCTATTCTTCTTGTGTACTTCCTTCTGTACTTTAATATGTGTGTGTAATTGTGTGTTGGATTATAAACACTGTACGTAAGTTAATCTGGACAATTGTTATTGTGAGTAATAACACACCACCGATTCTAATACGTATTAACATCAACACCTCTGCACACTATAAGCGGAATTGAATAATAAATAAATTTTATTGAAAAAATCTGATGTTTTTTCTCACTTAATCTTAGAAAATAAGTTTTATTAAGTAAAACGTTTTTTTGCTCACTCTACCTATTTGGTTTGACTTGATAGCTATGACGTCAGAATATGGCGCCCAGGCGGTCCTATTTTTAGTTGAATCGCATTATACTTGTCTGCTATTCATGATTATTTGCTGACAATAAAGCCTACAAGTGTAGAAGCTGAAAGGGCCTTTTCGGCATCAGGCTATATTTGCAGCTCTATTAGAAGTCGTTGAGCTGATGACACACTTAAGATTATTACTTATTACTCTTACACTACCAAATTGTTATTGTTTTCTTGTTGTCTATTTGTCTTAACATTTGTTAGGAAATAAAGTCGATTCTATATATTTGTGATTTATTTTTTATAAACTACCTACAAATTAGTGCAGTGACACCTAATTAACTCACTTATTTTGTACGAAAAAGCGAAAATCATCGCGATTTAATCAATCCGGCCGGATCCGATTCCCATCAATCGGAAAATGACGCCGGATTGCAATCCCTAGTTCTGAAGGTCGAAATTTCCAGAACGAAAACGTTGAAACCAAAATTGTACCGTGATTTCTGTTGCGACACCAGCACCGTACACATTATTAAGCCTTCAAGCTGTTTCTGCAGCACTGGTGCCACGCTAGAACTCGTACTCGTAAATATACCGATATTTTATGTTTTCCATTGTGCGGTAATAAGCGACGCCAAAGAAAAAAATAAATGAGAAAAAAAGGAAATGAATGACTGTTCTCAAAAGTCAAATGTATCAGCTGAATGAATATTTGAATTTGGAATTCTTAACCAAACTGGAGATATTGCAGATCAAAGTGGTCAGTACGATAAAACACTAATTTCATATGTAAGGACCTAATATATATATATATATATATATATATATATATATAAAATAAATATAAACTTATATATATACCTATATACAAATATATTTAAATTTACTGCTGACTGACTATTTTAAGTAATTTTATATATAATATTTTTTTGGTTTGTTCGCTATTATAAAAAAAATAAGAATAGGCCGACTCTCCCCTGTTTAACATTTATTACGTAAGAATCTAAAGGAAAAAATTAATACACGTTTGGTTTGTTTTTTATAGTATCAATTTTTCGAAATGTTTTTGGTAGAAATAAACTTTGGTTGCAATCTTTCATCTTTACCTTTTACCACTAGCGGGTGGCGCGGGTCCGTTGCCATGGAAATGGAAATCGTTTACCTATACGCATCCGAGCGTTACTAGCGCTTTTTCAAAGTATATTTAACTTTGCCCTCCCACCCCTTTGTAATAAAACATGGTCAAACCCCCTTCCCCCTTCATCGTTTTACGTAATAAATGAAAAATGACCTGAATTGTTTCGAGAATAGGATGGTACGGCCGTGCTCGACTTGGCGGGGGCATTGCTGGCCTCAAACATGGTATATAATGTAAGTACGTATAAAATGGTTATTTCATATAAGACTTAAATTATTTTAATTTTTTTGTTCTTATTGACACTTTTTTAATTTATTTGAATAAGTACATTAAAACAATATCGTCACCTACATACATCACAAAAACCTTAAAGATTTATGCCGCAAAGTCGCTCCACAGCTAGTTACGTGAATTAGCCTGCCTGTTTTTCTAAATTTTTTTTTACATTTTCACAAAGACTAGAAGATTTTATTTTATTTTTAATAGCCTCTGATAGTTAATTGGGGAATAAGGGTAATAAATACTTGAAAGTTCTGGTACCATACATTTTTTTCTACTTTGTAGTAATAAATACATTATTATTATTTAAATTTTGGAGTTTTAATGGTGTTTGATAATGTACTAACAATTTGTCTGGGTCAGGCAGCTCTTTAAGAATGAAATACTTTATTTTATCATACAAGTTGATAATTTAACAGTGCCTAAATAATCCTCTATCATCATCATTGTACTTTAATTTAATTTTAACGGTATAATAGTTTTAAGCATTTTTCGTTGTATTTTATACATTTTATGTAGGTAAGTATACGATATGACCCGCCATAACTATTCAAACCGTAACCAATGACAAAATCAGGTAGTGATACCTACATAATAGTAATTTTAAAATTCTGTAAGGTTATTTATGTTTCAGGATTGTGAGTTCCCTTAGTTTAAAGGTCTTAAATAACAATGCTCAAAAAAACCCACGCCCGGCGGAAATGAAATGTAGGTATCTCAAATTATTACTAAAAATGAGAAAATAAATACTTCATAGTTCGAATCTTCGAAATATTCTTCGTAATGTGTGAAATTGCTATTCGAAAGTTGTTTAATTTCATTAAAACTTTTCCTTTAGTTTATGGTTTTATAAAATATATTTTTGATACTGTCACTGTTACAAATTAACTGTCAATAATAAACATACAAAATACGAGAAAAAAAATCGATGACAGCGTTATGTCCTATACCGATTGAGCACTGAAGGACCATGAAGACTTGAAATTTACTATATATTTAGTTGTTTTGTTCGTCTTTTAATATTTACTTTTTAATTCGCCTGGAGCATGTTTAATTTCATTAAAACTTTTCCTTTACTTTATGGTTTTATAAAATATATTTTTGATACTGTCACTGTTACAAATTAACTGTCAATAATAAACATACAAAATACGAGAAGACAATTCTTTCTTCTTATTTACATAATATTATACCAAATCCTACAACGCTGATAACCCAAGCAGACGAGCATTATTATAGCTACGTTTTCAAAACTCTGTAGGGGTAACATTAATGGTTTGTAATAAAATGATATTAAATCATTGAAAAGGGTATTTTTAAGAGATAGTTTCATATAAGACTAAAATTATTTTTAATGTTTTTAGATCTTTTTGTTAACAAGTATTGAAAGCTTCTTCAAAAAAATGTTATTTAAAATATTTTAGACGTCTCTAAATTTCTAGTGGGTTGTAGTTCCAATTACCTCCGATAGTGTACTAGTGTTGCCCCTGTGAAAACATGACACACACTTTACAGCTGACGAGATAGTAGCAGCAGGAGAGCGAGTGATAATTGCTCTTGAATAGATATGATGAACTTTAAGAGGCCCTATCATAGAAGCAGATTTTCAAGACTACTTTAAAAACGGCTTAAAAAGAACTACCAAAAAGTAGTACTTTAGGCCCTAAAGGACTAGTTTTAAAACCCTAAAGTTTAGCGTAATGATCACCAAAAACTGAAGAAAACGTTTTTTCACGGTTATATAGATTTTTGTCATACTTGCCCTCGAGGTCAGAAACTTTGATTATTTATTGGGCCAACATCATACACAATTCTGCAAAAAAATCAGAACTACAGGATTTGACGCAGACGTAAAAAGCAACTTATGATAGCCTATTAATTGCCACGCCATGACCTGAACTGTGTCTAAATCATAAAGTTGATATACGGTATAATATGTTTAAGGTCTAAAGAAAACTTAAAACTTTTCCTTTACTTTATGGTTTTATAAAATATATTTTTGATACTGTCACTGTTACAAATTAACTGTCAATAATAAACATACAAAATACGAGAAGACAATTCTTTCTTCTTATTTACATAATATTATACCAAATCCTACAACTCTGATAACCCAAGCAGACGAGCATTATTATAGCTACGTTTTCAAAACTCTGTAGGGGTAACATTAATGGTTTGTAATAAAATGATATTAAATCATTGAAAAGGGTATTTTTAAGAGATAGTTTCATATAAGACTAAAATTATTTTTAATGTTTTTAGATCTTTTTGTTAACAAGTATTGAAAGCTTCTTCAAAAAAATGTTATTTAAAATATTTTAGACGTCTCTAAATTTCTAGTGGGTTGTAGTTCCAATTACCTCCGATAGTGTACTAGTGTTGCCCCTGTGAAAACATGACACACACTTTACAGCTGACGAGATAGTAGCAGCAGGAGAGCGAGTGATAATTGCTCTTGAATAGATATGATGAACTTTAAGAGGCCCTATCATAGAAGCAGATTTTCAAGACTACTTTAAAAACGGCTTAAAAAGAACTACCAAAAAGTAGTACTTTAGGCCCTAAAGGACTAGTTTTAAAACCCTAAAGTTTAGCGTAATGATCACCAAAAACTGAAGAAAACGTTTTTTCACGGTTATATAGATTTTTGTTATACTTGCCCTCGAGGTCAGAAACTTTGATTATTTATTGGGCCAACATCATACACAATTCTGCAAAAAAATCAGAACTACAGGATTTGACGCAGACGTAAAAAGCAACTTATGATAGCCTATTAATTGCCACGCCATGACCTGAACTGTGTCTAAATCATAAAGTTGATATACGGTATAATATGTTTAAGGTCTAAAGAAAACTTACCCAACATTTTCACTGCTTTGTCTCGATGCTGTTTACTATTCGCAGGACTGCTTCTTAAACTTTGATTTGCCGTTTTCAGTTTCACAGCTATAAGTACATATAGCAAAAATATTATCGACATCGGCATAACAAAAAATACAATCACTTCCATGGCCATAACTATTCTGACTGGATCAGCGACAGTGATGTAACAGTATACATATTTCTTTCTTTCCAATAAGTCTATGTAAAATACATCGGGTATGCAAAATATAAATGCCACAGCCCAGATCACGGCGATTATTTTGAAAACTCTCGATTTCAACGCCAATTTTTGTCCCAAGAAAGGTTTGGACACAACGAGATATCTTTCTACGGTGAATGCTGCTATTGTGAGAACGTTGCAGTTACAGAGACAGTCGTAGAGAAAAAAATGTAGACGACATCCTACTTCGCCAAATGGATACATATCTGGTACCCAAATAATGTAAATTTCTATGGGTGCGAATAATGCCAAACAGAGGTCGGTGATGGCAAGATTGAAAAGGTAGCAGTTTGTCGGAGTTCTCATAGTCTTATCTCTGGTGATTACAGCACAAGTACAGACGTTCCCAACTATGCTGAGTACCATTGAAACTCCTAAGAAAAAGCTTATAATAGTCTTGATGAAGTCGGCGTCATCTAACACCGTACCGTCGTCGTAAAACGCCATGCCAATCGGACCGAAAAAAGTAAACGTATCATTACTTATTTCACTGTTGTTTGAATTCATCTCGCACTGAAAACAAAGATAAATCAATAACTAATGATATTTTCTGTTAGCATAATAATTCATGAATGTTTAGAAGTTAAAGATAAAAGTTGCGGAAAGTTTGTAAATCTACTGTGGTATTCCGAGTTTGAAAGAAGACGTGACAAGTACTTCAGTAATAAATTGTAATGTAGGTACATTTAACACTACCTATAAGATTCACGACCTATTAAAAATGTACTTTAATTTGAACAAAATGGCTATGATCCACAAAAAAAAAACTCATCGAAATCAATATTACAATTAATAAAATGGAAACGACATTGTAAACAATAATTTACGCACTTTGCTAAGCACTATTGACACCAGAATTATATTGATATCTATTACACGTAAATACGACACTATACCACCAGGCTATACAATAAGAAAAACGAAATGGCGCGTTGAGCAACGCAAACTCAAGACTGGATCAACAGCAGTTTCCGGCGCAGCTAACAGTTGGGAATACAGGCTGATTTAGTTATTTTGTTAAATAACTTTATAACAACTTAACAATTGATTGTCTGAGTACGACCCTTGTTAATGAATATACGTTTTTAAGAAATTATTGCTTGGCCTGCTTGCATGCGTGCTTTTTGACATATTAATTCAACCATTAAATTTAACAAAGATATAAGAAAGGACTTAAGAAACTTTCATCCATTACACGTAAATTCATAAGTTAATATAAAGTTTCATTACAATTAAACATGTTCTGTTTCTTCATTGTTGGTATTCCAATATGTACTTATTTACTGCAATGATAAGCTCATACAAATATGTCATATTTGCAATTGTAAATGGGAGTTGTTGATTAGGCTTAATGAATATACGTTTTTAAGAAATTATTGCTTGGCCTGCTTGCATGCGTGCTTTTTGACATATTAATTCAACCATTAAATTTAACAAAGATATAAGAAAGGACTTAAGAAACTTTCATCCATTACACGTAAATTCATAAGTTAATATAAAGTTTCATTACAATTAAACATGTTCTGTTTCTTCATTGTTGGTATTCCAATATGTACTTATTTACTGCAATGATAAGCTCATACAAATATGTCATATTTGCAATTGTAAATGGGAGTTGTTGATTAGGCTCCTGATCGACCGCGCAGAATAACAAAAAGAGGTAAGTATTGTGTTAAGATTTCAATATCTTACGAAAACGGTAAAAACAATGCAGCCAAAATAACGTAGTCCACGTCCACGCGACTATATATCAATAAAGTATAGGAGATATTATTTCTATCAATCTATAAAGTACCAAAAACGACAATAGAATAAGAGTTCAAATACACTATTAACCTTATAGTAAGTATTTTTTATTTTGTTTATTTCTCTACCCAATAGGAACGTCGAAAGTCGGACACCCTATAGCTTAAAGTAATTGAGTGTATCCACACAAGTGCCTTCAAATTGATGAAAAAAACTGATGAGTTATCATACAGACACCCTTAATTGAAATGACTACCAGCTTGTACATTATTATGGCTATGTGATATGTTTGCTTTTTTAGGTGATTAGCCATACAAGGTTACCAAAACATGTGACGAAGAGTAATTTTTCTGGTCAGATTGTATAACTATATTATAAGTATACTGAGAACAACCGGCAAGGAACTCAGCAAGGGCTGCTTTATTCTCCCTGTTTTATTTCATACAGTGTCGTCAAATTGAAAGTTGACATTAAACTTGCAAAAATGCGTTGAGGTCAACTTTCATCACATAATGTCAAAAAGGTTACAATGGACAATTAACGAATTACTAACCCAAAATAGCAAGAAACAATCTTCAAAACAAATTGAATAAGTAGGTATATGAAAAGGAGTAAGTGCAAGGTGCTCTTCAGTGCTTCTTCTTCCTCTTTTTAAGGCCCCCAGTTTTAATATTAATTTTGAAAAATTATCTACAGGTAAAATTATAACCAGGCCGTTTTATCTTTCAATAAAATTTGAAAGATAAAACGGCCTGGTTATAATTAGCAGTTTACAGTATAATATCCTTTCTTAAGCATTAAGAATCTTATTATAGAATTGTATAACATGACCCCATAAATGATTTATGAACCTTCTGTAACTTGTAAGTTGGAATCTTGAGTTTATTTTTATTCCTTGTATTAAAGATTGTATGTCTCTCTGTGTTTGAGATAATAGTTAATATTGCTTCTAACAAAAAGTATACAATTATAAATAAATTGAGATTGAGAAGTAATAGTCAAAATCCCGATTTCTTTGCCCGATGTTCTAAAACTTAGTTGGTAAATATTTCCATAGGATACAATACTATGAAAGTAACTGTTTACTTATACAGTTCTAGCAGTAGCTACATTAGTAAGTTGTCTTATTTTACGTATGGCATAAGCTGCTGAACTAAGTTTACCAGCTAGCAGAAGAATATGAGGATACCATTGTAATTTTGACTCTATGGTTATATACCTAAGAATATCGTTGATTCAACTAAATCTAGGTTTTCGTTGTTTAATTTAATTCACACGGTCGGTAAGAAGTTCTATGAAGTTAGCTGATTATGAGTACAAGTAGATGAAGTTAGTTGAATATTGTACAAATTTTTTTCGCGGCATTGGTCATTTTCAAAATAGCCCGCTTTTATTGAGACAACTCAGCGATCGCATCGCCTCACTTATTTTGTCCATTTTTCTGGGACACCTCCTCATCTCCTTATCTCTAACCTCCATGATGGGTATCGTGCCAGTAGTCTGGCCACGCGATCCTGGTCGCGCACCATCTGTAAAGGATATATATGGGGCCTAGTCCTATGCTAAAATGGGTATCGTGTCAGTATCCTGGTCACGGCACCATTTGACATGGTTCTTTAGGTCCCTACTTGGGGCCGTTTAGGTATCCTAAGCCTACGTAACTCAACTGTAATAAATGTGGTGATTTAAGATCTCAAGTACTGCCTAATTTTTTTATAGGCGTTTAACATTTCCTGGACAATATTTGTATACTCAGGATCTTTTGTGTTGCCTAAAAACTTATATACGACATTTTTAAAGTCATGCCACCAGGCATTTCGTTCCAAAATTGTCATCACTTTTTCAAATTCTGTAATCCCTAATCAGTTTCCTGATGTCAGGTCCCGTGAATATTCCCTCTTTCAACTTAGCATCAGATAAGCTAGGGAAACATGAACAAAGACACTTGAAAGAATTTTCATTTTGCGGTAATTCCTTTACGAACTGTTTGATTAAACCAAGTTTGATGTGAAGTGGTGGAAGCAATATTTTAACGGGATCAATCAAATTAGGATTGATAACATTTTTTACTCCGACTTTCAATTCCGTTCTAGTTTTCCACTCAGTTTTTTCCCAATGTAAATGTCTTGCTTTACTATCCCATTCATAAATATAACAGGGGAATTTTGTGTAGCCTTGCTCTTGACTTCTTGGTCAACAGCAAGGCTTCACAAAATTCTTTAAAGTATAGTTTACGTAATCATTTATTATGTACATATTACTACTATATGCTTAATATGATTCATACCAGGGCGCGTGAGCGCGCACATCAGACTAGTCTATATTGAAAAAAAATGTGACGTGATACTTTAAAACAAAGTTTATTTGCTATATACAGACCATTATCTACATGTTTGTGATGAATTTATTTAAAAAAAATTCATCGCAGACCTATGTAATTAAAGCAATTCGTGCAATATTATTCCCTAACTATTTACTACTCATCCATCCATCACGTAATATTCAAGTTTTCACTTCTGCCGTCACTCCCGGAGTGCAACCCGTCGTTTTTCTTTAATAAATCTATAATAGGTAAATTTATTTTTAATGCCCTTTCAAGTCGTGTAGAGCATGAGATCTGTGTTTTTTTCCTTTTCTATATTTCCGAAAGTCGTGCTGCTAACAGTATACTTTATTTTATTATGGTTTTTTTTATATTTATGATACTGCACGTACTTGGTGAAGGCACTCCCCGTATTGCCTTCCGTTAGTGACGATGATCATGAACAGACATACACTTGGCCGGGCAACTCCCGGTAGTGTTTGAATGACATGAATGTATTTTACAACAAAATTTTATTTATTGGTTATTTAAAAGAAAACTTTTATTCATCTTTCTATACATGCGGTCCGTGGGTGAAGTAGGTATACGCAGGGGGTATACATATAGCGGCCTTCGGATACAATATAATAACGCGTTCAGGGTGTTGATGGAGCTGCCGCGTCACTGCAGTGCCTCGGGCATGTTTGCCGAGGCACATACAGATGGTTTCGTGGCCATGATGCGTAAGCGCTACGCCTCGCTACTTGGGCGGGTGCGCGGCAGCCCCAACACTATCCTGAGGGTGCTAGCAGAACGATGGGACTCTCCGATGCCAGTCGCTGGATACGACTGCATGGACTCATATAGGCGGGAGCATCGTGAGGTGACATTGGTGTGTCAAATATTTATTTATTTATTCAAGACATATATGTTTATCGACTAACATTAGATTTTTAGTATAATCTGTTTGTTACTAACCCACTATGGATCCATTGTTATCCGAAATAAATGATTATTATTGTTATTATTACCCGATTATTACAATATATTCCTATTAATAGTAATTGTTCTGGATACCCCTTTATTATTTTCTTTAGAGAAATAAAACCATGTTGCATTTGAAATACTTGGCTAGGGCACTAGGGAGTGCCCTAGTGTTTGAATGAAATATAGTTAGTCTTACCTATTTTGTTTCAAGAGAAGGATACTAAAGAAACTAAGTTGTGCTCTGGGAGGGTAATAATTGTAATTGTTCAGGGCATTAACCTTTTCGGCAAAATTACATTACAAATTTATGGTTCCACGGAGTCCATTTTACAGAGAGAAAGAAATGAGAGAGAAAAATTACCTACAGGTATCTAGTGCCAACAGTCTCTAAGCAAAACGTCGGACGGACAGACGAAACTACAAGAGTTCCTTCTCTGGACTACGGAACCCTAAAAACGGAGGAGTTTCTCGA